TTTTGCCGCATCCCTGGGCTGAGCACCGGTACGGCGGCGGCACGGAGTGGACAGCGTGTCTGTGTTGGTTCAGGTCTTCGAGCTTTTTGAATGATTGATCGCATTCGCGGCATACGTTTGCCGAGTGTTTCGGTGATGGCTCAGCGACGGCACGGGTAGTATTGGTGACAGTATTCTCAATGATGGCGGCGGCGGCACTGGTGGTGATGGGCAACCTATCGGATCAAATATAACATTATAACAATGACTGACACATTAAGTAACACAATGTCAGAAATACCTGTCATGGGATGTGTTGTCACGGGATGTGCTGTCACGGGATGTGCTGTCATCGCCGGTGCTCTCAGTATCGGCAGTATCGGTGACAGCGTTATCATCGGTGGACCCGTCGGACGGCCTGTTTGTCGGATCAAATAACGTTATAATACGAGTAAATATAAGCGCGCAATGAGTAACAGATATACCCGTCACTGAAAGCGCAGTCTTCAGGTGCGGAATCGCTGTCGAGATCGACAATCGGCGGATAGGAAGTGACCGGATGGCCAGCGGCGGCACTGGGCGGTCGTGTCGGCGCACATATACTACTAAAATACATAATAAAATTCAATTAATACACAATTTGTTAAAACAATTTCATTGCAAAACAAAATACTTATGAAACGAGTTGTCATTATTAGTGTTTTTAAGCATCACATGTATGTCCCGCACGTGTATATCCAACAGCGCCTGATTGGCGAACACGTGTTCGCACGGGCGGCACACGTAGCCGTACTGGTGAGTCGTCGAGTGGGCGCAGGCCTTATGGTCGGCCAGATTGGGCCCAAACAGAAATGTTTGGTCGCATTCATCGCATTTGTATAGCGGTTGCGATTGTGAGCCCTGTGTTGGACGACCAGTGCCTACGCTATAGCCACTCGATGGCTGATTATCCCACTCTTTGGTCGCTTCGCCACTCATTGAACATCTATTTAATACAATTCAAAAAACAATCACTTGTTTAGTGTTAGTTAATTGTCAACAATTGATTGTAATGTTAATATCCAAAACACATACTCATTGCTAATAGTGTTAGTTATAGTGTTATCAGCGCTGCGTTCACTGTCAGTAGGTATGGGCGTCAGCACCGGCACTAAGAGGTCCAGAACAGGCCGTACGGGCGATGGATCAGCCCTTTCCGTGATGAGCACCGGTATGTCGTTAATGAAAGCGCCGGTCGTGTTCTCCATGACTCGCCGGTCAGTATCGTTGGGCACCGATATGTCATTCATTGGCAATACATCGGCGGTTGAATCGCTGTTTTGGTGCGATATTTAACATGCATTTTAAAAACAACATTTATCGTGATTAAAGTGAAAGCGTATAGCGATAAGCGTAAGCATAATATACTGTGTTTAGACAGCCAAAAAAGTATCAGGATCACACGTTAAATAACCAAGGTTAAAACACCGCAAAATAAAACCAATTAAAGCATTTAAAGCATAATAAGAAAAAATTAAGCAAAAAAAGTTTAAAAACAAAAATTTGATTTTATTTGAGAGCAAAAACATTGGTTTTTTAAACACCCATTTAAACACATGGTGCATTTGATGACCACTAGTGTTGACCAAATAATAAACAATTAAAAAATTATCAATTAAATTAAGCTTAAATTAGAAAACAATTAAAACAATATTATGGCAAATGATAAGCGAGAGTATGAAGCAGTAAATGCTAAAAAACAAATTAAATAATTAATTAAATTATTGGTATTTCGGTAAATTAATTAAATGATGATTTATAGGTAAATTACTCTAATTATGAGTTGTAATCAAATTAATTAAATCACGAGATTTTAAGCAAATTAATCAAAACAACTATAAGTTATAGTTATAGTCTATAACTGTCCGCACAATCACTCATACATCACATACTTATTGGATTTGTTGAACATCGGGGCGGCGGTGGCGGTGGATGGGCTGTCCCGCGCGGCTGACGCGCGCTTATCATCACGTTTGTGGGAACGGGACATATGGGTCTTCAGTTCTGGCCAATTGGTGAACCTTTCGTGGCAAACATTGCACACATAAGTGCTGTCTTCGGACCTATTATTGGTGATCAAAATAAAACAATCATTCATTGTGTCAAACCATTAGATCCAATGGCAAGTCATTGGCTTACCTGTAGGACCAGTTGGAAGCGGAGGGCATGTCCTGCGCGGCGGACCGATACCAACACCGAAGCCGGTGTTGCCGTAACTTTCCGGGCGTATCGTACGCTCGATCGCAGCGCCTGTAATGACATTTGTACGGATTGTGCTCTGCGAACACGTGCTGTCTCAGCGATTCCGCTGTCGGATAACCAGTCAAACCGTCGGTAACGCCGCACGGCTCGTGACGGCACCGGTACGGGTGGTCCACGTCGTGGGCTCTAAGCCGATGCACATTCAGCAGCCGTTCGCACTTAAACCGCCGCTCGCACTGACCGTATCGGCACCGAAAGCAATGGCCACGCGTGCGGTGTATATCACGCACGTGTGCCGCCAGTCGGGACTCTTTGGGGTACCGGCGTTCGCAACCGTCCCAATAGCACCGGTAGGGCTCGCGTACGCCGTGTCGGCACTTCTGGTGCCGTTTGAGGTTACGGTCGCGGCCATAGGTTTTCGAGCATTTGTCGCATTTGTATCGCTTCTCACTATAGCTGATGGTATCGCCCGACGCGTTGGTCGTCGTCTTAGATGTTGTGGTTTTGGTCTTAGAGGTCGTTGTCTTAGATATGGATGTCTTAGATGTCGTGGGCTTTGAGGGTGTGTTCATTGAGGACGTGGACGGCGTTTCCCGATCCGTAGATTCACTCAGAAAGCTGTGTGTCATTGCGTGAGTGAGTGAGTGAGTGAGTGAGAGAGAGAGAGAGAGAGAGAGAGAGAGAGAGAAAAAAGAGTGAAATACAAATCACACAAAAAATAACAGATCGTAACATAAAAAACAATTGAATATTTCAAACGAAATATAACTTTTAAACATGTATTGCATTAGTTAATGGATTATTAAAATATAATTGTATAATTTTGTTAATGATTTGCCGATTGCAATGAAAACATTGCAAAAAACTAAAAGGCAGCGCTGAATATGTAACTCAATTTATTTGGTTTAATTCACATACAATTCATTTGCTGTTATATTGCTGTTGAAAATTAGTTTCTTTGGTTTAAAAAACACGTAAATTACTTGAAAATATTTCTCAAATATTTGAAGAAAATAGGAAAGAAAAGAGAGAAGAGTGAGGGAGAGAGAGAGAGAGAGAGAGAGAGAGAGAGAGAGAGTTTTAAATTCAATTTTCATATAACAGCACACAATATACTCAACCTGTGATGAGTATAAGCCGATGATATCATTGTAAGGCCAGAGAGCACAGGGAAGGGCGACATCAGTGGTGCAGTCAATAGGCTGTGCGGCGGTAAAGGCGGCGGAACTAATCGACCGGTGGGTGTCTTATCGCTGGCCGACGAGCCGATGGTGTCGAGCGCTGGAATCGTTTCGCTGATAACGTCACTGATGTCTGAGTCGGTGAGAGTTATGGTGACGGCCGGTGGCTGACTGACCACTCCTAAGATTGTATCCCATAATCGGTTACTGTTCTCCGTGTTAGCCGGTGTGGGCACAGGTATGTCAACAACTCTTAGACCACTACTTTATAGTAAATAAAATCAATTAGTTTTTAAAAGTAAAGTCACGCGTAAAATGATTACCCATTGGATGTATTGAGTACAGAGTTAGCACTGGAAAGGCCGGGCAGTACTTCAGGTACACGATTATCATTAGAAAGTGGTGGAAGTGCTTGAGATGGCGTGACATCACTTGGAAGGCCAGGCAATAGTTGAGGCACAGAATTATCACTGGAAATGCTTGGAAGTACTTGAGAGGCACTGACATTACTGGAAAGACTTGGAAGTGTTTGAGATTCAATGGTATCAATGGGAACAGAGGAGAGTTCTTGAGCCGATGTCAACGACTGGTTGTGCTTTTGATGGACAGCCCTCTTATGCTTCTGCAGTATCTCTTCGGTGGTAAACATTCCGAAACATTCATTAAAATCGCATTCAAACAGACATAGCGTTGACACCGGTTTGGGCACCGATTGAGTGGTGGTGTCAGTGAGAGGTGGGTTCACATCACCCGCCGCTGGCGTACCGGTGCTGTGGTTGACGGACACCACCGGTTCGGGCAGCGAATGGTCCCTAAGTTTGTGCTCATTCAGCAGCGATTTGTTGACAAATGTTCGGTTGCAGTCTTTGGCATCGCATTCGTGCCAATCAGTCAAATGATTGTTCTCGTTGTGGTCGTCGAGCGCCGACTGTCTGGCAAATTGTTGGCCACAATCGTTGTGTTCGCACTGAAAGTCCTTAAGACTCGCTGAGCGGCGGCTATGGCTGGACTCGACCGGTCTGTTCGTGTGATCGTCACGTTTATGGGCGTAGAGTTGCGTTTCGCGGCCAAAACTCTGGCCACAGTCGGCCCGATCGCAGACAAACGGCGATTGTTTGCCGTGTTTTTTGATTATGTGCTCTTTGATGGCCGACCTGTGATCGAAATACTGGTCACACCCGCTGTACTCGCACTCGTAGGCCACGCGCAGGTCGTGTTGGCTGCGCTGATGGCGCACGTAATCAAACGCCCGGTCGTACTGTTTGCCGCACCGCTTGTCAAGTGGTCGGCGCGGGTCGTCGTAATCACACCGGTATGGGTGGCGCTCGCCGTGAATGATAAACAGGTGTTCGTTGTATTCATACCGGTTGTGGCCAAATGGCTGCCGGCATTCGCGGCACTCGTACTCCCGCTCACTATCGGCCACAGTCTCGTCGTCTATCAGTTCTCCTTCACTCAAAGTACTTCTTCTTCTACTTCTTGTGCGCCGTTCACTGACTTTCTCCCGGACTTCCTTATCGACCGGTGCTGTCGATTGTGTGCGTATTCCTTGACCACTGTTCACACCGACTGTGTCTTCATTAACAGTCAATTCTTTGGCAGTATTTCTATGAAAAATAGTTAAATGGTTTTATATTTCAATCTATAGTAAAAACAAAACAAAAATACTTATGATTAGTGACGGCTATTGTCTGGCTATCGGTGTTTGTAATGACGGCATCGATAGGTGTTGTGCCAACACATGACTGTTCATCTCTATTAGCGTTTATGTTGTTATTCACTATCAGTGGCGTAAGTATTTGAGCGACAATTGGTTCAACACTAGCCGTGTCTTTGGTTTGAGTGCTTAAAGTGGTGGCCAATGAGTGGTCAGACACTGTCTGTAGAGTCAGATCCGATATCAACGGCTTAACGTCGATCAGTGCCTCGTCAGTAGCGGACACATCGGTGTCTGATTGCGTGACCACTGGTTGGCCCGCAATCTGTGACACACTATCACCCGCTGCTGTGGCGGCACTATTGACGGTAATATCGGTCATCGAGTTGTGCGCAATGGCGTTGACATCAGGTTTTATATCACATGTTATATCACTGTTTAAATCAGTTGTCGAACTAAACAAACAATCAGTAAATAACACACAAAATGACTGTCAGTTTCATTGGGATTAAGTCTTACGTATCGCCAGACAATAGCACGCAGACAGAAGCGCCGATCATTGGCTTAACATCGCAGTCATCGGCGGTGGTGTTGGCCTCCACCACACGGCTCACCCGTTCCACCAACGAATCAAATCGTGTGTAATAATCACTGTCGGGAAGCGTTGCGTCTGTCGGCAGGTCTTCGTTGGGCGGGCATAACAACTCACTAAACGCAACAACAGATCCACAATCAGTGTCTTCAGTGATATAATGGTCAGTGAAGAACATACCTGTCATCGATGTCGGTATCCATTTCCATATCGGAGGGAACGGGTGATATCGTAGGGCTGGTAGTGTTGGACTCCACGGACAGCCGTTTCCCCTCTTTAGATACGGTCTGTGCGATCGCCAGCAAACGTATGGCTGTGTCTATTGCTGCCGATGGCGGCGGCGGTGGTGGCAATGGCGGAGCCATCTGTGGTAATACCGGTGGTACTGATGGCAGCACTGGTGGCGGTGATAACTTTGACGGGCCGGCAGTGGCAGCGCTTGTGGTCTGAGCGGTGGGCGCGGAGACGATGGCCACGATCTCAATATCGCTGTCCGATTCACTGTTTGTGGTAAATATATGTGGCGTTCAAATACAATAACCGCAACAATAGTGGCGCTAATATCACGTACGGGTCCGCCGTTATGGCCTTCGAAGTCTTTGACTGAGTTGTCAGCGGCTGTGACGGAACCGTTGACGTAACACATGGACTATCATCGGCTATGACCTCGATTTCGGTGTCACTATTGGTGTCCCTATGGGTGGCGGCGAAGAATATGAGGAGACAAGTGTTTAATGCATTTGTGACATAAAAATAAAGGCATATAAAACACTCACTCATCGGAGGGCAACACTTCCAACACGTGATAATTGGTGTCCGGTTTGCAACGTTTTCGGCCGCGTCTGGCGGTCTGCCGGCGATTGGTCTCCCCCCTACGGCCTCTACCGGCGGATGACTGGTCAACGGTTGAGTTGACGGTCAGCGCCGGTACGTAATCCCCACGGCGTCGACCTCCCCGTCGGCCGCGTTTGCGAGTATTTGTTTCACTAGTTTTCGCGCTATAATTAAATGTCAATTATATCTCATAAGACAATCAGTGGTTTTCATCCATTGCTTACGTTGTGCTCGTATGACATGTGTTGACTGGCGCTGACTGACTGCTGGCGCCCGCTTGTGGCCGTTGCTGAGTGGCCACTGATTTAGTGGCCGACAGGAACGCCATGAATGACTGGTTGAATGAACTCGTCTGACCAACGGTTGGTGTGTTAGGGGTTTGGCTGTTAGTCGTTAACGTAATGATCACTTAATTCATTAAATCAGTTAATAGACAACACATACGATTGACTGGTATTGATGGGTGAGTTGTCGCGGCCGCCAGTGGTGGTGGTGGTCGTTGGTTGCGGTGGTGTATCGGTTCCGGTGCCCACCAATAGCAGGCCGTACCGCTTCCGTAGCCTCGGATCGCGTATAGTTGACGCCATCTCTTCAGTAGATCTCTTTCGTAGCCTCGGGTCGCGTATTGTTTGCAACATTTCAACGCTTGTGACCGGTGTCTGACCACTGGTGGCCGACGAGTGAGTATTAGCCACAGTATGCGTTGTATTGAGACTTTAAGGCAAAAAGACACAAACAATTACCACAAGAACTGATGACAAAAATCAANTGTTTGCAACATTTCAACGCTTGTGACCGGTGTCTGACCACTGGTGGCCGACGAGTGAGTATTAGCCACAGTATGCGTTGTATTGAGACTTTAAGGCAAAAAGACACAAACAATTACCACAAGAACTGATGACAAAAATCAATTGCAATCTCACTTGTAATCAGATCTGGAAGTAGTCACTGGATGTACTGGAAGTACTGGTGTAGCGGTGATTGGACGGCGTTGTGGTCGCAGTTGACGGCTATCTTCAGGCGTCGCCGCTGTCCGCCTTCTATCGGATAAAGAGTTGCCAATCGTTTGCCCGGACTGTGCGCTGCCATCGATGGCGTGTCTGCGGCTTATATGCGAATCCAATCGGCTTTGAGTGGACAAACTTTTGCCGCATCCGTCGTAATGGCATTTGAATGACTTTTGGGGGACAAATGACTCGCAGATCGACTCGTAAGTCAACGATTGGCTGCAAAGACACAGACATTTGTCACTCAAATCTGATCCAGAGGTTAGAAAGAGGGCAGGACATAGGGGTAGGGGTAGGACTCAGTATCACATGTGCTATCATTGGGTAATAATTATAATCATTAAATCCAATCAATAATACCTGTCGTCGGCGGCGGTGACCGTCTTTGCGGTCTTTAATGTCTTTGCGGACACCAATCGACCAGACATTGAGGTTTGCGGTCAACCAAAGGCACTATACGTTGATATAGAGATTCATTATGTGTTTTGATTGGTTAACAGACATTAAGTAGTGTTTAATTTGATTAATTAACTCATAATTAAAAGTAAATTTGGTTTTAAATCACAATTGAAATCAGATCTGTATTTTGAAACATAAGTTTGTTTTTGATTATATAACTTGTTTTTGGTGGCATTTTTTGAATTCATACATAAATAACGTCAAGTTATTTATTAAAAGTTTTCAAACCCCGGAGTAAACAGTCGTTCATTGAGTTAGTGTTAAACCAATGCTGACATACAGTCTGTTCATAAAACCCCCCAAAACATCACTTAAACGCAAAATTAAACGTTATTTGTTTTAATTTTAAAAGTGATGACAAAAATAAACATTTAGGCCTTTTAATAGCTAGAAATCATAGCCTTTAATACACTATAAGTCTATACTTATAAAAAGGTCTGAAAAGGTTATAAAATATTATGCAATATATTAATATCTGGCGCTACAATCAACTATCGTTTTTGTGTACAAATAAGTTAAGGTTTTGGTATTAATATTGTTTTGTATTTTATTTAATGTTAGTGTTGGGTAATTATAATAATTATTAATCAATAAATAAAGTTATTATTACTAAGAGTTAAGTAAATGTATAATTAAAATGTAATCAATACTTGCGCTAATGATTACTACAATAACACGTGTTTTAGTTTCAGGAAATACAATGCTTTCTAAGCCTTTGTTTGAAGGCAATATAAATGCGGCAAAAGTTTTGTTATGTTTTTTGTGAAAGTTTTTAGTTTTACTTTCAGTGTATCAATAAAAAGTGTATGAATTCAATGAATAAAGCAATATTTACACTATAATAGAGATTCAAATACCACTGTACGTATTTATACATAAGCTGTGTTATATGATGCACCTAACAA